ATAAAATTTAATTGTAGACGCTGCTCACTGGTGAGTTGTGCTATTTTTAGAACAGGTCCGTGGGCGACTCACGTGGTCCTTGGGGGTGTCCTGGTGCCCACGGGCACCATGTTGGTGACCCCTGCTCTAGGATATAGATTAATGACTAATCTTTTAAAGGTATCATCAGATCTGCAACTATACAGTTGTAGCCAAATTTTTGAGACTGACACAAGTATTGGTTTTCACAAAGTTTTCTGCCTCAGATTTTATGATAACAATTTCCATATACTCCAGAATGTTATGTAGAGTGATCAGATGAATTGCAATTAATTATGAAGTCACTCTTTGCCATGAAAATGAACTTAATCACAAAAAAACCCATTTCCACTGCATTTCAGCCCTGCAACAAAAGTACCTGCTGACATCATTTCAGTGATACCCTCGTTAACACAAGTGAGAGTGTTTACGAGGACGAGGTTGGAGATCATGCTGATTGAGTTAGAATAGCAGACTGGGTGCTTTAAAAGGGGGTGATGCTTGAAATCATTGTTCTTCCTCTGTCAACTACGGTTACCTGCAAGGAAACACATGCAGTCATCATTGCTTTGTACAAAAAGGGCTCCAGAGGCAATGATTGCACCTAAATAAACTATTTATTGGGTCATCAATAACTTAAAGAAGAGAGGTTCAGACCCTTTAGATTTGTGTTAGTTTGGAATATAATCTAAAATAAAGTATATTTTTGTGCACCTCACTGTTTCACTGTACGTCATATAACCCCCGTCAAATGCCCATTTTGCTTTTTGCATCTTAAATAAGTGTACCAAGCTGAGATAAGCATCTAGCTTAGCACCCAGGATCCTCTTTGTTGTTGGCCTAGCCCTGTCTTCTCCTTGGTTACTACAGTGAAACTCAACATCACCATCTCACCTGTGTGCCTTACGGTCAGTGACCCCAGTCCCATCTTCACACTAATCAGCGACAAGAAAACCTCAGTCCAAACAATATCTTCATTGCTCATCTCCCCTGCCATTCCTACACTCCCTCCATGTGGTCGAGGATCTTATATTTACATTTATTTAGCAGGTCCTATACTACTAAGTGATGTATATGAGGGGCCGTGTGCCTCTGTGGGTTAGGATGCTGTACCTATAATCAGAAGATCTTTGCATCAAATCTCAAAGTTGGCAGACTGACCTCACTGTTGGACTGATGAGCACAGGGCCAGGTCTTGGTCCTGTGAGGCCCTTGGCCATGTGTCTATTGGAAGGCCTCCTTGTCATAGGATGGGGGTCACTTGCAGGTACAGTGCATATACCACAAAATGGGTATGGATTCTACTCTACTACCAAGGCTTTACGTTTTAACTAGCTTGCTATGTTGTGGTTTGTCAGGGCTAGAACAAGCTAACCCTAACCCTAACCCTAACCCTAACCCCTAACCCTAATCTGAGAAGTTACCAAGTTAGCACTATTGGCCATTACTTCTAAGTGAATCAAGGATCCAATTTTACTAAAGGCATGTTTTGGATTAAGAACGAAATTAAGGCAACACAGCCTGAAAATGTTTTTTGTTTAGCACTAATACCTTTCTAGCAGTGGTGGTAACCACATCCATATAGCTAGTTAGCTAGCTGACAGCACATTGACATGCACGTTAACGTACTGCAATTTTTAACTAATACACAGTATGAGTAAAGAAGGTCCTCATGTTATATTTTGCTATTACACTGGAGCCAAGGGACTGAAATCATCGGCAGTTACATTTTTGCTAGTTTGCTATGTTTCGACTTCTCAGGTTTTGAACTAGCTAACGTTATTTGACAAATTAGCTAGCTAATAGTCTGTGTCTAAATGACAGCGGCAGGTCACCTGGAGGAACTAAAGGAAAGAGTCGAAGTACTTATAGGTGGACTCACCATCATTGAAATAGTTAAAAAAAAATCCTCAGTGGAAAGACTCCAGGGGTGGATGAGATTAGCCCTGAGTTCATGAAAGGTCTGGATGTTGTTGGGCTGTCTTGGGAACATTGCATGGAGAGTGAGGACAGCACCACTGGACTGGCTGTAGAAAAGGCTGGTAAGTGCGCTGTTTGTTAGTCTTGCAGCGTTTTGAGCAGCCGCTATTTCAGCCGTCACGCAGCACCCCGTGTTGTACTTTTCCTTACTTATACTCCGTGAGGAAGTAGTATTTGTACAGCTTCCCCACAGCCCCCATCACTGTGAGTCTCTGGCACAGTAGTACACAGCCGT